CATAAAACCGCGTAACTGACATTTGGTGCCAAAAATTGGACTTGCTCCCACAAGCTTTCGCCTAAATCCTTATCCATTCGTCCTGAAATATACTAGCCAGAATTGCGATTGCTTTATAAAAAAGAGAACCATTTTGAAATATGAGTGTTTTTACTCTCTAGAAAATAATTTATGAAACCTCCCATGTGCGGTTTTGCATTATCTTGACACGCGGTTTTTCATTTTGTTGATACGCGGTTTTGTACTTTAAATGACGATATGTATGTTATCGTATAACTTTGGACCACGTTAACCGATTTCTTTAATTATTTTTTTAAATGAAAGGTGGTTCCATACTTATTTGGTTTAGATCTGATCATTGCATCATGAATAAATTAGCAGCACTCTTATATTTTTATGAGATTGAAGTCGGTTTTGTTTTTTGCTTAAAAATTCCTTCTTATCGTTCACTTTATTTCAAACGTTTTTATATGTACTAAACTCAGATAACCTCCTCGCCCCCAAAGTTTTCATTAAGGACCTTACCTTTATACTAATACATCTATTGACAAGTCTTTGAAATGAAACAGATTTACAACCGACCAAGGACTGATACTCCAGCAACATTCCCCAAGACTCTAGATATTCAGGGCTATCATCGTAGTTTGACTTTTAATGCCGCTGCAACAACAACAAGGTTGTAACAAATTGGATTTTAGAATATGATTTTCTACTTTCATCTAGCATTACTTTAGAATTATTGACCTCATGACATAATTTCGATCCGTAGTTTAAAGTACTGCATTGCTTTGTGAAGTGTACAATTTGTTTTTGGCGATTGGAAGAGATACAATTTTTCCGATTTCTTGGAGAATATTTATAAAAATATGTACTATCTTTGGCGTGTCATTGCTTATAAAACTAACAAAAATAGCAACTACCTAAATTATTTAAATGCTTTTCAACATAGTAGCTCAAAGGAAACGAATTTTAAAAATATTGGTTACACATATTAACTTAATAATTAAATTCCAACACATCACGGAAGCATTATTTTGGGGGGATTTGGGTAGATTGGCCGGTTTAGAGTGTAAACCACCGCCAGGTTATTTCTCTGCTTTCAAATATGTCTCTTAGTATGTAATCATCCGACTGCAAT